CCAGTCCGGGCCCTCCTACAGCAGCTGCGGCCCCCAGCGCCAGTCCGGGCCCTCCTACAGCAGCTGCGGCCCCCAGCGCCAGTCACAGGTTTCCTATGGCAGCTGCAACTCCCAATTCCAATCCCGGGCATCCTACCGCAACTGCTCCTCCCAGCAGCGCTCTTCATTCAGCACCTGTGCGCCTCAATGCCAGCCCCAGGGCTCCTATGGAAGCTTTACCTCGCAGCAGCGTCGGTCTCAGAGCGCCAGCAGATGCCTCCCTCCACGTCAGCTTCAGCCTTCTTACCGCAGCTGCTCCCCGCCAAGACGCTCTGAGCCTTATTACAGCAGCTGCCTGCCATCCCGGTGCTCTTCAGGCTCCTACAACTACTGCACTCCACCCCGCCGCTCAGAGCCCATCTACGGCAGCCACTGTCCTCCTCGGGGCCGCCCTTCAGGCTGTTCTCAGAGATGTGGACCCAGGTGCAGGATAGAGATTTCTTCCCCCTGCTGTCCCAGGCAGGTTCCCCCGCAGAGGTGTCCTGTCCAGATTCCTCCCATCAGAGGAAGATCCCAGAGCTGTGGCCGGCAACCCTCTTGGGGTGTCTCCTGTCCAGATCTGAGGCCACGCTCAATACCACGCCCATTCCCAAGGTCTTGTGGGCCACAGCGTCGAGACCCGTCTCCAGAGCCATCATGGCAGCGGTGCCCAGTTCCCGCACCACGTCCATGTCCTCGCCCAGAGCCATGCCCAAGTCCAGAACCCCGCCCATGTCCTCCTCTGCGGAGATTTTCAGAACCCTCTCTGTATCCAGAACCATGTTCAGCTCCTCAACCAGTGCCACGGCCAGCACCACGCCCAGTGCCTCGTCCTCGCCCGGTTCACTGTGAGAATCCAGAGCCATGCCCGCGTCCACAGCCAGAACCAGTGCCACGTCCAGCTCCCTGTTCCAGCCCAGAGCCTTGTGGGGAGCCCATTCGCTGCCCCAGTCCCTGCTCTGGTCCCAACCCAGTTCCCTACCGCCAAGAGCTAGGCTGTAATGAATCTAACCCACACCACCTGGATACTGAAGGCCCAAGCTGTGGCCCATATAGCTGCAGCCAAGGGCAGGAGAATAATGGCAGCTGCGGATCTGGTGATGCCTTTTCAGGGTCACAGGGTGGTTGTGGAGATGAAGGAAATGCCTATGGTGGCATGAAAGGTGGGGCGTATGCTGGAGCAAAGGGAGCCTACTTTTAAACAAAGTGTAGCCCAAATGCTCCTGCCTCAGGTTCTTTAGAATATGTTCACTGAGGTGTTTCCTGCTTCAAAGCTGTTGTCCAAACTCCTTGACTGTCATCTTGGGTTCCACACCTGAGTCCGGGCATCATTCCAGCCGTATGTCTCACTCCTCCTCTGCACACAGCTTTAATTCTAACTAGACCAGCTTGGCCACTAGGACACTCCCTGGGTGTCCCTCTTCAGAGCCCCCAGATGCCCTTACCTCTGCTGAGGCTGCCTCAGCCTGAATTATTTCTCACCTGTTTCCTAGGATCCGAAATTGTACCTGACTTTCAATACCTCTTCCTTGAAGCCTTTTGCTGTTTTTGTTTCCTGTTTTCACCCACTGGAGCCTAGACTGACTTCCTATAATTCACTGCCCCTAACACCGTCCATTTAGCAAGTGCTTCACTAGACTGTAAAGTTTCATCCAGGTGTAGTCAGGATATCCTTAAATCTCTGTTCCTATTTTAGGTCAGGTAATAGTTGACCAAGGTTGTGGTTGGCAGCTTGAGCCATGTTCTGTCCTATTGGGAAACTATAGGCACTGGGGCAAGAGGAGGAGAGGTGGCCAATAAAAACTGGATGTATTCACAACCTGCATCCCGAGTAATGTCTTCTTTTTATTCGATGTCAACTTGCTCAGATGAAGTTTCTTTTAAAAATCAGCGTAAAAATACACACAGCAAAATTTACCATCACAGCATGCCAGAGCGTACAGTTCAGTATTATCAGTAACATATTGTATTGCCATCGCCACCATTCATCTAGCCTACAGGACAAAACTCACTACCCCGTTTCCCTCTTCCCCTTAACCTCTGCACACAATCATCCCATTTTTCACTTTTAAAACCTGATGCTGTATGTGCCACAGGTAGAGTCATACAGTGTTTGAACTTTTGTGACTGACTTATTTCACTTAGCGTAATGTTCTCCAGGTTCCTCTTTGCTGTAGCATGTGATAACTATTTAAGGCAGCGTGATGCTATGCCTCATGTGGATGCCATGCTTTAATTGTTCAGCAATGAATGGCTAAGCACCTGAGCTGTTTCCATCGTTTGGCTATGGTTAGTAACGGCCTAATCGACACTGGTATAAAATACTTCTTTGAGTGTTTGATTTCAATTCTTTTGGGTAGATATTAAGAAACTGAATTGCTAGAGCACATGCTAATCCAGGCGCTGCTATTTTGCTTCCTGCATGGGTGACATCATTCACAGTGCCACCCAGCAAATTCACAGTCCCAAACCAACCCACAGTCATCATTCACAGTCCCAACCCCTAAAACATAACTCAGAGTTCCACCCCACAGTCATCATTCCTAAAACATAAACACAGTCCCAACCCCTAAAACATAATTCACAGCCCTACCCTAGCAACATCATCCACAGCCTCATGCCAGTGTGCAGGTCTCAGTTTCTCCACATTCTTGTCAACTTTTCTTAGTTTCTGTGCTATTCTCAAATACCACTCTCATCATGATATGATGTGGATGGTTGTCACTGTAATTTATTATTTTGTTCTTGGATTCAATGAACCATTGTCTGAGCTCTTCTTAAGTGACTTGGCTTATGGGTTTTCTGTTTCTACTTCACATCCTTGTCCCCTGATGGAAAAATGAAGTATGGAGGGTGACTCCCAGGCTAGGTGTAAATGTGTTCAGGCCTGCAATTGGTGTTTACCTGGCTATAGTCAGAGCCATGATACCCACTCCAGGAGAGTGGGAGGGAGGACATGTGGAGGTTCACTGGAGGTATGTTTTCTTTTGAATTAAATAATTTGCATTTATTCATTATTTTGTTATATTGAAAACAAAGACTATGATCCTGGGAGGAAGGGCAAAAGAGATAAAGTTGTTTTTCCTACTCAGCCCACTGGGATGTGGAGGATGAACCTATTGGGGACAGACTCCTCCTCAGTGTGAGATAATATCTGAAGGTCACAGTTGTTTTCAGAGGATGAGAAGGCTCTTTTGACATGCTCCAATGCTCTCTCCTCACAGAGCACATTCCAAACAGTTTCAAATGTACACAGCCAAAGCTAACAACACAGACTTAGATCTTGCCTCTAATCATGCTGTTCCCTTGCCCCAGGGACCTAGTTCTGCAATGTCAATTTTGGAATCTAAAGACAATGCATCAAAATCATTTATGGTTTCGAAGAAAACTGGCACATTTCTGTGAGGTACTTCATGTACTATTAACAAACATTTATTGTTTACTGATAAGAAATACAATGGCAAAGGGGACATATTTCCCATTTATTATCATTAAACAGCTTAGCAAATTGCTCTTGGTGATATATGGAGCAGAAATAGCAATTTGTTGCATGAACTTTTCCTAAGGAAACATACAAGCATTTACCCACTCACGTATGTCACCGATGTCAGGTCATAGAAACGATTCCATTTAAGTCTAGCTTGATGAGTACATGAGTTTAATTAGGACCACTTATAGGAGAATGAGTGATGGGTGGTTTACAGAAGCAGGGGTAACTTACGAGTTCCTGAACAGCTGAAGAAAAGAAAATGTCTTTCCCAGTAACCATTAACCAATTGTATCTATTCAGGAAAGGGTCGGGTCTCTTCTTTCCATTACAGACATCAATGGCCCAATCTCTTTTGAATCTCATGCAGGTAATCAGGTCTACTAAATGTTCAAAGAGGCGATGGCCATGTCATTCGTGGAGGACAGCATTCTATTGCACTCTAACTCTTTCTCCGGTTCTTACATCATTTCAGCCCCTCTTCTGGGATGCTTCCTGAGGCTTGGAGGGAGTGATTTAGATGTCTCTTTTAGAGGTACATCTTCAACAGTCTCATTTTCTCGGTATTTTTTGACCAGTTGTCAGTCTCTGTAGTAACTGGCGCCCACTGCATATAGATGTTTACTTGAACAAGGATGACAACAGTGATATGAATGAATGTAAGCATAAGTGCTTAAAAGACACTTTGACAGGCACATCACATTCATTTAGTAAAATAGTGACAGGAGCTTTTCTCGTAGGGCCTGTGACCTCCCCAGCCATCAGCTTTTGGCTGGACTTGCTTATCAGAGGTGAATTCTCTTCTGTGGATTAGGTCTTAAGGCCAGTGAGAAAGCCGACAGTTACACCCATGACTGTACGAATGGACATGTCTTGCCTGGCATAGTGGTAGTCTCTAGCATGTACGGTCTCTAGCTGAAAAGGACTGCTGCTGGTATTTCTTGCCCAGCAGCCTGCATGTACCTTCTGACACTAGAAAAGCTATCCAGGAAGTAGGAAAATTTCCATCTCAACCCTAGCTTCATTTCTCTATGTCCTGCAACCAAAGTGTACAATGTCTTCAGTAATAAGGTCTGATGACCACAAGTAGCTGATATCCATGGATACATCAGCTAGTAATAACCGTGAGTTCCTTGTGTTGTTGTCTCAGATCATGAAACCTTTGGCTTATTCAATTTCCACACTTCAGCACTCTGACTGATCCCATCTTCTCCTATGTCTCACAACCTCATGAGCTGTGCTGTGAGAGTCTCCTATTTCTTGCTTCTTTCCAGTTTAAGCAGGTTAAAGGCAAAATATTCCTTGATTATCAGCTTCCTGTATAGCTCATTATTATAAGCCCAACCTACATGCTATCACGCTACATCGATGGATTTTCCCTCCCTTTATATTAAAAGTCAGATTGAGGGGCACCACCTGTTACTTCTCTCCAACTCTGCGCCTCTTCGGTTTGTATTTTTTTGCATGGGTTCAAATCTTATCTTAAAGAAGAGACTTGTGATGGTCAATCTTGATTGTCAAGTTGACTCTATCTGGAATCAACTAAAACTTAAGCAGCTGGGCATTCAAGGTGAGGAATTTTCTTGACAGGATCATTTGAGGTGGCAAGACCCATCCTAAATGTGGGCTCTACCTTCTCATGGAAATCCATGTAAGAGATCAGAGAATAAGGAAGTTTTCACTTTTTGATTGTTCTCACTCTCACATCAAGTGCATCCATCCTGATGCATTCCTTTACTGGCATTAGAAACTTCTTTCTCAGGATGCCAGTGTAGACTGAAGTGAAGACCAGCAGAAACATCTATCCTCACGGATTGAACAACTAACTACAAGTTCTTGGCTTTTCCACAGGGAGACAAGGACTAGCCAGACCACAAACCACATAATAAATCATATACAAATTAGAGTGTCTATATTCATTGCATTCTGTTCCTCTGGAGAACCCTGACTGATACATGATTATGATACATGTTACATAGATCTAATGTGTATTCTTTCTTTTATGACCCCAACCCCACCATGAGAGATAGTAATCCAGCATTGTCTTTTTCACCTTCCTCATTTTCACTTTTCCTGATAGTTCTAAGGTTAATGCAGAGGCTGATGTCTGTTTCTCATTGTCATTCTTCCCCTATCCAGGCAAGCTCCTTCTGGGGTAGCTCAGCTTCAGTCTTATCGCCTAGCGCAACGGCCATGCAATTGATGTCACATGCTGCCTCAGTAAAGTCCTGTCTTATATGTGCTACTTTCAGAGATTGTAACATATTCTGTTGCCCACCAGTTGTTTTGAAGACACCCTTATGATCACATAGTAGGGCTACATTTATGAAGAAGGCATGCCATTCCATGCCACACAGCCATCCTTCAGATGAGATAATATTAGTTGCATGTGTTTTTCCCACAGTAACTCTTAGTGTGCCAAGGACTCATGACCTTCTGTACAACATAGGGAAAGATGACAATATTGAGATTGTCTACACAAATGCCCCACCATAAGATAGCTTAGCTCCAGCAGAGAGAAGTACTCCAAGAGCTTCTCCCAAACTTATCTTTGGTTCTGTCACATCTCATCCTGGGTACAAAGTATTATGTGAAGTTTATCTGAAAACACAAACAAACACTTATTCACTCCAGATAGGGAACCAAAAACAGATGAAAGATGATTCCATGTACATGTAACTTGGTCAGCCAGTGAGTTCATTATGGTTAGCATG